CTACCTACTAGGCCGTCATCGAGATATTTCACGCAGCTGAAATTCACACCTAGCGGAAAACACTTTTATCCCCACCGAGGGTTCGAGATTTTTATTTGATGAATTATACCGACAATTACGTCATCAAGTAAGCCCACGGAAATTAAGTCATGGGTGGATGTTATTCACATCTCTGTATGATCTTAGAATGATATTTGGTATCAGCCTGTATATCCAACATCTTGTTTACCTGTACACTTGTCCAACCAGCATCAAGTCGTACATCAATCCCCCACTTGTTGTTCACGATTAAATGTACATTCAAAGCGTATGTGATTCATGCATACATTAATGTTATCATATTTGGCAATCATATGTATTTCTATAAATAGATGGTGTTTTGGGAGATGTCTTGAGCAGTAGGTTAAAGCCAAGCCATACAAAACATAAAGATATATTATATGCATTCGATGATAATCAAAAATTTATAATGACATTGTGTGCGTGAATAAATTTGTGAACGGCGTAGTGTGTTAAAAATGACTAGTGTAAGTCTAGAGTAATCTAATAGATATTGTAGTGTCTCTATAGTAATATAGTAAGTAACATATGTATGTCTCAAGTAATATATTTTAACTTATATAATTCTATATATGGTAATATGCATGTGTTTATTGGATCAGTAGATCTATGGTGATTCATGTATAGTTACTGAGTGTGTGCGTCTATGATAAAAAAGTTACTAACGTGTGTAGACTTATGTATGTGGTCTATTGTAAAAACGAAATTGTGATATGTAAACCTATGAATATATCCCACACAATCACACACACGAAGATACAATTTCCTACATCAACAGCACTAATGGATCAACAGATGGCTGCGTTAACGACTGGACACTTGTAAGTTTGACACGTTTGGGGTCAAATATCAGCCACATATGGTCAATTATCAGCCACATATGGTCAAATATCAGCCACATATGGTCAAATATCAGCAACATATGGTCAAATATCAGCAACATATGGTCAAATTTCAGCCATATATGGTCAATTATCAGCAACACATGGTCAAATATCAGCAACATATGGTCAAATATCAGCCACATATGGTCAAATATCAACCAAAATATGTTCAAATATCAGCCACATATGGCAAAACAAAAAAAAATTAAGATTAAATATTATCAATTCAAGGTCAATATCAGCCATCAATTTTGTTACCTGTAAGTGTGCTATGAAGTTTGACCTCCCGAGTGTTACAGTATGAACCAACCAGATGTAGATCCAACTAGTGCTAGTCTCTAGCATGCTTACATACAAACAGAAACTAAAGCAGTGCTGTCAAACAAAACACTTAAAAACAAACACCAAACAACAAAATCTTAAACTCTCCATTTCTGTTCAACGATGGACAGCTTGGCTGTTGGAGGACAGCTTGGCTGTTGGAGGACAGCTTGGCTGTTGGAGGACAGCTTGGCTGTTGGAGGACAGCTTGGCTGTTGGAGGACAGCTTGGCTGTTGGAGGACAGCTTGGCTGTTGGAGGACAGCTTGGCTGTTGGAGGACAGCTTGGCTGTTGGAGGACAGCTTGGCTGTTGGAGGACAGCTTGGCTGTTGGAGGACAGCTTGGCTGTTGGAGGACAGCTTGGCTGTTGGGGTACAGCTTGGCTGTTGGAGGACAGCTTGGCTGTTGGAGGACAGCTTGGCTGTTGG